TTTGTCCCTCTCTCAGAGAACAATCAGTATTTTGTTCTGCACAGTCAGGATCTTATAAGCTACCTATTTTCCTACTTGTTTTTCAGAAGTGAATTAAAGGAAATGAAAGATCAGGCCAGGTTTCTCAACATGAGCTTCATCTTCATGAAAATGCTTTATAAAAAATGAGTTTGAAATTCAGATTTCCTAAGAATGAAACAAAACCTTTCATGTAGTGTTTTTGTGCAGATATATTTATCCATTTATCTTACCTGTAAAAAAAAACAGTAGTTTACAAAAAAACTATGCCACAGAACATCCCCCAAGTGTTTATGTATATTTCTGTCTATACTACAAAGAACTTCCCAGAAGTTAACAAAAAATGCCTCTTCTTAATATCCTTGATATTCATTCCATTAATTGCACTTCCATATGTTTTCATGTTACTGTAACTTTTTCAATGCATTTTCCAAAACTATTTTCATTCTAAACTGTTCTAGATTGCAGAACTATTACAAAAACAGGTCATGATTGAAACATCAACTCAAGTGGAAAACCTTGCTTATGAAGAGTGATTATATGAGCTCAGATAGGTAGGTCGAATACAACATGGTAACAGATATATATGCATATGTAACTGCTTGAACCTTAGGTAAGGCTGTCCAAAGACTCACCAGATAAGGTTATACCGAACACGGTTCTGAGATTCTTTGTAAGCCCTGTATGGCAAAGAAGTTGTTCTCAGAAATAACAATTGGAGAGCAATTACAGATTATAAGAGAACTGATAAAGGGAATGAGATAAGTTACTCTGTGTACCATACCTCAAAAAAAGAAGAATTTAAAATCCTAGAAAAGCTTGATTTTAAACTAAGGAATCTCCTGAGCCTTGGGAAACTGCAGATGGGCCTGTAGGCCAAAGCAAGGTAATGCCTTTATTTCAAGAGAAAAACTGACTGATGAACATACACTCCATGTAGGAGTCTTACATTTATACACAGTTATACACCCTTTATACTTTATATATAGTTTATATACTTTTTGATTTTCAGATCGCTAATTATAAATGAGAGCAGCTGATTACTGACTTAATCATGACCTCCCACCAGAGAAGCCAGTAACATGGAGTGGCCAGGGGTCAGCAGAGTTTCAACACTGCACGGGCAAATGAGGTCTGACGAGGCCTCTAGCACAAGGAGGCTGAAGCAGGATTTGTGATAGACATCAAAACCCTGGCAGTGACTGCAGACAAGGAACAGCAGCCAGCTCCCTTTGCAGTCTTTTTCAAGAGGGCAAATGTCTTGTCTGTGTGTGTCAAGGAGAAGAGACTGACTTTATGCTTTTGTCTCTTCTTTCCCTCTGTTCTACCAAAATAATACCATTTGAATGTGCCATTTCGCTGACTTCACGGTTTTCTAAGCAGGGAAGTGCACTGAGAGCCTTGACTGCCTGACATAACTCTCTCTGCCTTCTGGCCTCAGGCTGAAGACTCAGTGCTGAAGACTTGGCAGGAAGATTGCAGTAGTAAGAACAAGACTTAAGGAAAGTTGCCAGCCAGAAGAAAAGCTATCAACAGCCAATTAGCCTCAAGTATTAAATGACGTTTTTGCTTCTTTCTCCAATTAAAAATGTTGATTGAGATTAATTAGCTACCACTTGCTGTGAAAATAGAAGCATTTATGAAGTGGGAACAAATGGGGTCTGTCCTGTGCCCAGTACTGCTCACTAACAAGCATGATGAGACACCAAGTGTCTTTTAAGAGAGGAGTGTTAGCTCATTGGATTAGAGTTCAAAATTATCTCAGCAGCTATCAGCCTGAGTAAAACAGGATGCAATTCAACAAAACCAAGTAGAAAGTCCTACACTCAGACGGGGATTACTAGCTCCCTAAACAGAGCACTGGGAATATATGGCTACAGGACAATAAAGGAGGTGGACTATTAGAAGGAATCACAAGCCGAACAAAGTAAAAAATGCTTTCTGCAAGAAAAGCAAACATCAACCCAGAATGGATAAACAAGAACAGAGTTAATGAAATGCATTAAGTAAACTCTTTCCTCTGTAGAGGATGTCATCTGATGGGAACAGGGTACCCAGCTTTGGGTGCTGCACATCAGTAAAGATATGAGAAATTCAATGGGAGAACAATGGCAAAGATAGTAGATCCAGGAAACTGTTTATATGAATCAAAAAGAGGCAAAGTGTTCATCTGAGAAAAGATATATCAGTCCTGAAATAGCAAAAGGACTGCTGAAAAATAGCAGGAAATTTGTCTTCTATATCCACATAATGGGTTTGAAATGCAGCAAGGGAAATCAAGATTGAACATGAGAAAAATATGTGTGTAATAATTACCAGAAAAAAAATCATCTAGGGAGGGTGAAGCAGACACTTTGGAGGTTTGTCTAACTTACTCCTAGAAACATCTGTCAGGAAGTAGGCTGTGGATATAGACGACCTTGCCTTGTGACATGAGAACAGATTAAATGAATTCTTAAAGTGTATTTCAGCCGTATTTCTATGATTATTTACACAAAAAGCTAGACTGTAACAGTCTTTCATTGTTTTTATGTTTTTCCAAGAAGAAAGGCAAAATTTTTATATCACTATTTATTACTATGAGAATGCAGGTGGTGTTGGCTAGAGAGATAAAATAAAAACCCAGCAGCCACTGATGCAGATACACGGTTTTGGGGTCCAAGAGTGTATTAGTGTATACAGAATAAGGACTATAGCTAAAAGACATGTAGGAAGTGGTTCAAGCAGTTCATTTACCCATGTCCCAAATGAAATTGGTATGTACCAAAGTGAAATCAACACCAAACCCTAGCCAGCAATCTAGTTAACATTATTTGAATTGACTTACTATTATGTGATTACAATAATGTGATTACTATTCTATTATGTGATACATGCTGTTCTATAAACAAGATTAATCCATAATATCTTTTTCTTAAATTTAGTGAAGTTACTTATGCAGGAATTTTGCTGACTACATTTTAAATTTAGCTCTGTTAGTGGCTCTACATGAACTTGGGGTTTGCATTGTGGTACAATATTTCACTTGCACAGCAGCTCTACTGTCTGTCCAAGTTCACAGAGTATCAAATCCTGACCTCTCTTTTTGCTGTGTTAGGAAACACTACACACAGCTCTTCTCTCATATCTTTAGTTTTAGCCTTTTGAATCGTAACTGTTATAAATAACTGGTTCTATAATGTAACTGCTATTTATAAAATACTCTCAGATATATTTTAATGGTGTTAAGGAAATGCAAAGCATTTTTTTTCATTTTGAAATGGATTACATAGTTCCATAAACTGCTTGCTTTTTTCTTTTAATATGGGCTACAGTAGGCACTGCTTTCCTAAAAAAAATCTGTAGAAAATGGCACTTAAATCATAATGACTCAATAGAAAATTAAGAGGATTATGAGATTTCATTTTAAAAGTACTGCATAGCACTTGATAACATGGTTTTCTTGAACAGGAGAATTGAAATGAGCAGGTGTGGGAAATTTTAATCGAATTAAGTTACATGTGTTCAAATGTATAATTAAAAGAAAAAGTGGCTTTTGACTTTATACATATGATTCCTACCAACATAAAAGGAGGAAGACAGCATCATTTACTGAAAAGAGCAGCATAGTTCATTGATCATGCCTCTTCAGTTATAATTGGAAATTGGTTTTATTCTGTTTGGTAAAAAGTAATAGAACGTTTTTTAGCTTTAGAGCCTGGACTCCATGATAGAAGGTGGTAAGAATTAAGCAGGTTTCCTCTTCCTCTGTCCTGCATGGTGAACTGTTCCTAATACCCTTCTGAGCAGAACAGCAGTAAAGGATTTTTCTCCTTTGATTGAACCTGATGTTGCTTACCCAGAAGCTGTAAAGAGGAGGAAGGCAAGCAGATGTCACTTATGTAAGTAGCAAGATACTTTGTGATCCTGGAACCTGTTAGTATGTATTTATTTCTACTTTTATATCCATTTAGAGAACTTTGACTTTTAGCCTGAATTAATACCTGAAATTAGATCATAAAGTTTCTCTGCATTGAATTATTAAAGTAGAAATACCCAGAAATGGAATAGAGAAACTGTATTTCTGTGATTCAGAATTAATAACATATCCTCTGGTGAAAATATAGCTTTGAAGGACGTGTGTGTCTTCATTTAAAGATCACCCTTTCCGTTGGCGTGTTCACTTGAGCAAAAGAGAAACTGAGAATGCAGTGAAGAACAGCGATGAAGAACCTAAGAGTAATTCAAAGAGCATAAAGCAGATTTGGCAGGTCCTGAACTCTCTGAAAGCCCTTTCGAAATCTCTGGACGACAAACAGGAGCACGCTCTTTCATGAGGTTAAGTCCTGCAGTTAGAGGAAACTTTCTACAGCAGTTTTCCAAGATCAGCAGAAAAGCAGGTCTGTGGAAATGCTTCTGATCCTTCCCTGGGCAGAGGAACCTCAGGCCGGGCAATCTGTGCTCTGCTGCCCACCAGGCTGGACAGAGGCTGCCATAGATGAAAAGCAACTCCGACAAGCACTAGCCATGAAACCCAACCTCTTGCAGTTATAAAAGCACCCAGCATATTCATGGAAATTTCCATGGCTAAATAGAAGCTTTTGACTTGCCTGATAAAGCTGGAGTGGCTATTTCTGGGAAGGCTGAGAACTGGGTACCCAGGGTCCCTGGTCTCTTTCCAATTTAAATGCCAGATCTCCAGACTCTTCTTCCTTCACAAGAGCTCTCCCTGACTTTATATGGAAGAAGTAGTACATCCCTTGTTTATCATTCTTTAGATAATGCATAGCCTCCAAGAAAATGCTCAAACGCTCTCAACCTTTACATTAGCTGGGTCTCTGCTGGTAACATCTGGAAAAATATGTAAGGTTTCAAGAATGTAATCTAGCAGAAAATTTAAATTGTCATCCTAAGAGAAAGCGATGTGCTCAGTTCCTTAATGCTGCTCTGTTTCCAGAGCCATGTTCCGAACCGTACCTAGAAAGTGTTAGAAGGGTTTTTACCTGTCTCATATACTGCTTCGGATACCGAGGTAAAGTGGTCTTCTACTGTGTATTGTGCCAGCTGGAGTGCGTCCAAACCTCGAACTGAATCATTTCCTCTAGTCCAGTAAAACATGACATCATTGATGTTATAACCCCCTGTAGTGATACACAAGCCAACAAAAGTGGTTATTTTACACAATAATTAATTTGTGTTGAGCACACTTACGGTTCAGCTGTTTCTTATTTGTCTATCTGACAGTACAATTAGACATAAACAATGACATTTTTTGGCTGAATGTAATGCTTCTTTGCAACAAAACTCCCAATAACATACAAAGTCTTATCATTTAAAAGCTGACTTTTTTGGAGGTGGTCTTTTTTATATCTTTTATTCTAGTATAGATGACATGAACTAACAAAAGAGATTAGTACCACATGGCATTCTAAAGACAAAAGCTATTAAACTTTAAAGAACTACAGTTTTTATGAATTACAGCATTGCCAGCATTTGGACTAGACACTAAGTGTGCCCTTTGTAGCACCCCAGGCTGCAGTTTCTCGATGCAGTGCATTAGGTCCTCATTCCTCCAGAAATGAAGGGGTGAGGAGAGCAGCAGGGCTGCTGCATGCTGGCGCTGTGCTCTGAGATGGGCTTGGGTCATCACTTGGGGTGACATTTTGGCTTAGGAGCTTGGATGCTTCCCAAGGACACCAGCTTAGATGCTGATGTTTCTGCAGGCTCAACAGCATGGTATGCCTCAGGGATCCCAGGAGGTTTCCTCTTAACCTTCAAGTCGTAATTAGGAGCTGAGACGGGACATGAATCATCTATCAGAAGGCAACTGTATTTTGCACACACTTGTCAGCATGCGGCACAATCATAGCTAAAATACTTCTATAGCTTTTTCCCATTATATTAAAAGGTAGGCAATTTTGAAGCTAGTGTATATGATTAATTCAAGATTATGTTAATGTAATTTACATGTTAACAGGGAGCATTTGAACATCTTTTCCTTTAGCTTACTTAGATCAATCATATTGTGCAAGTTAACAGCTAAGCTTAGGGAACAGAAACATGAGCAGATGATTATTTTTAGACTTCAGTCAATTGTAAGTAAATTATAGTGTGAGACAATAATGCAATACGTTGCACAAGGGTATATGCTGCAAAAAGAACAAAGCTCTAGAATCACAGAATAAGACATGCATTAAAATTAAAAAGAGCATTTTAATACTTTTAAGTTAATGGCTTTGGTTCTCGTAATGTCAAAAAAGAACTGATTTCCTACAGCCATTTAATGTACGAAAAACAAGAGTTCAGAAATTTCATTTCAAGGGAACACTGTGCTGGTTATCAATTAAAATTGGAAATTCTGGAAATTCTTTTCCTGACCATTCTTTAAATGTAAATTTTGTTTTCACTATCATTGGCAGTTTTCTGAAAAGGTATCATGACCAGGAATCTCTGCTCACACTCTCACATTTATAGCAATTAAAGTCAAAACACTGCTGTGTCAAAAGACTAAGCCAAAAGCATGTGCATCCAAGCTAAGGTCTTGATTCCCTAAAACCACACACTGGGAAATTTCTCAGATTTGGGAGATGAAAAATAAAAGTAACATTTCCTATAAACAAATGATTCTATTGTCCTAGTCAAAACAAAGAGGTTCACAGAAGCAATGTTTATGCATGACTCCAGGCATGGATTCATTTTACTTTCCTTCAGTATAAAAGAACTGCAGGTATTTAAATAAATCCAAATAACTAGAGAGTACCACAGTAAATCCTTATTTATTTTTTACAAGACATTGAGTCTTCCAAGTTGTATGAGATGGGAGAATTTCTTGATGCCTAAATGGGTGATAGCAAGTATATATCCAAACAGAGGTTGTTTTTCTTTAATACAACTATTTCTGTTCCAAAGTATTTTCATTAGCCAAACAATTAGTAGGTTTTAGTGATCCTTGCTATGAAAATTCTTTGAAAATACTAATTCCAAAACTTTATTTGTGAAGAATTTTCATGGGGAGAGTCTTCCTAATAGTCAGTAAAATTAAATAGCGCAGTGCTCCCTCTGTGCAAAGTTATTCTTTATTCAGGGGATTAATATTTTACTAATTATAAAATGTTTTAAAAGTTTATAGAGACAAAATCCTTAAGCCATATTATTTGGCTTTTACAAGTAATCTCTATTCTCTTTACATGACACTGAGTTTTCATTCTAACTAATTCCTCAAGCCCAAAATGTCTCATTTCTGTACTTCATTGATACAGCATAAGCAGCTAATGTCAATAGGGTTAACTACAAGAATAGTAAATTTGGGATTAAACATTCATAATGCCTAATACAAATTAGTTTCTTTACCTTTCTGTTGCTAATTTTAATTTCCCCTGATTATCAAGCACAAGTTAAGTGCCTTCACATGGCTCTTCACTGAATAAATGCTGAAGGACAAGTTCAAAAACAAAATAAAATTTCAGAGATGGGCCAAAAACATGAATATGTATTTGGACTGGAGGCCTGTGTTGGGGAAAAAAAAAAAAAAAGAGGAAAAAAGTCCTCAGCCCGGTGTGAATCAATGGTAGTATTCCCTACCACATGGCAGAGAGCATGAACTCCACGGGCAGCACCAACCGGGACAGGAGCCCTCCAAGTCCCCAGATGTCACATCTGCCGTATCAACAGAGTGGCAACTCTCTGTCTCCTAACATGTGCCTGTACTACCTTCTGAAGTGTTGCAATAACGGGGAAAAAACAGTCGACATTTTGGCTGAAATGTATTTTACTGTATTATTGTAGAAACTGTAAGTCAATCAACATTGTTAACTAGTAGTAGCAGAATAGCATGTTGTAAGGTCACCAGGTATGCTTTACTGTGTAAATACATTACTTGATAATATCATGTCATGTTTGTCTTCACATTAGTAGTCACTTAATAAAAGGCCTAACACTTTGTTTCAGCTCAAGTATTTGCTATATATTTTACATTTTATTTATAAACATCAGCATTTGTGTGAATGTGTAAGCACGCTTGCATTCACAATTCTTCATTCCAGGTAACGGTGTTTGCAAGCAGTATTCTAGGATGATGTCACTATTCATCTATAAATTGACATAGCTTGTCTCATGAGGCAACAAACACCATCTCCAGCATACCAAAAAAGAAAGTATTACAGTGCACTGAAGAAAAAGGGCCGCAGCTAAAGGCACACTCTTTATTGCATTTATTTTTTCTAGCTGTTTTCCTTAAAACTAAACACCAATGTCACGGGAGCATTTGTGAGGACATTACTATGTTTTCCCCTTGGACAGGAGACACCTGTGTGTTGTTGAAAAAGCAGATGGAATCATTCTGAAAAATGTTAATTTTTAATTATATAGGGAATTCTCCTTTTTTTAATCCTGTCAGATAGATTTAAATTCCTGTGGGACGTACATTTCATTCTGGAACTAGAGAAAATATTAAATTACTCATTAGGCAATGTTGTTGATGTAAATCCATATGCATTGACTTACCAACATGCTTTTCCAAAGGAAAATAAATTAAAGATCAATCCAAATTCTAATTCAAATTGCTATTTGTTAAACAGATCTTATAAAACTGCTGATTCTAGAGGGAATTCTGTGTAAGGAAGGTTTTGGGGTTGATTCCCTTTGTGGTTCTGTCTAAAATGAAACTTTGCAGCAATATTCTAATTGGTCATTACCAACAGGAGATAAAGACTACACACACACATCTGAAATGGTAAAGAATAAAATGTGACAAGTACCAATAAACCTTCCAAAAGATTTTGAATATCTATTGACATATATTTGAACATATATTTTCATCTTACAGGGGACTGAGTATCCTTTTACATTATCCCATGGAAAAATATTTTGATAGAGTCTTATCATATCAATAATAGCAAAAAGCTAACTATAAACATGCACATTTGAGTATTTGCAAAGCGACCATATATACAAAGTAGAAGAGAGCATATTTTAACAAAAATTATGAGGACGTTGACTGATAAAATGAGAACCTATAAAAGTATATTTAGTCTTGGTCCATCAACTGATGACATTTTTTTCCCATGGCACTGGCATGGAGATAACTAAATAAGTCACAGAAGGATCTGTATATACCCATCTCAGAACAGAACTGTCTAAGCAATCACCTGTTTTTCAGTATGAAGACAGTAAATTAACTAAATATGAATTATATGCCTTACAAATAGGCCTTATTGTAATTTCTTTCTTTCCTAAAAGAATTGTGCCTCAGGGTGGGAAAAAAAAAAAAAAAAAAAAAACCAAACAAAAACACCACACACAAACAAACCACAAACATACTATCTGAAAGAGGAGAAAAAAAAAAAACATACTTTCCCGGCTGTGCTGGAAAATGTCTGCTCACAGAACTCCCCCTGAAGACCAACAGAATAACTGCAGGATGCACTGCAAAACCAGGTCTATGATAATTTCCTGAGATTTTGTTTAAGCATTAATCATCAATAGCATGACAGCATTTCAGTACTGCCATGTTATTTTCAGTAATGCCTCATGCATCTATCTTTGTATGTAGGTCCTGTTGTAATTCACAGAATCACAGAAAGGTCGGGGTCGGAAGGGATCTCTGGAGATCACCTAGTCCAACCCCCTTGCCAAAGCATGCTCACCTACAACAAGTTGCACAGGATCGCAACCAGGTGGGTTTTGAATATCTCCAGAGAAGGAGACTCCACAACCTCTCTGGGCAGCCTGTGCCAGTGCTCTGCCACCCTCAAAGTACAGAAGTTCTTCCTCATATTCAGGTGGAACTTCCTGTGTTAGATTTTGTGCCTGTTGCCCCTTAACCTGTCGCTGGGCACCACTGAAAAGAATCTGGCCCCATCCTCTTGACATCCTCCCTTAAGCTATTTACAAGCATTGATGAGATCCCCTCTCAGTCTTCTCTTCTCTATGCTGAACATACCCAGCTCTCTCAGCCTTTCGTCATAAAAGAGATGCTCCAGTGTCCCCTAATTCAGCAAGAACTGGTTACATACTCTCCTTTGGCTTCTTTCAAAATTCCAGCCTCTTTGATAAGAGTATGTAGCAGCCCTTGAAAAAGATCAGAGATATTTTTCTAATTGTATAAAAATAATAAGGATTAAGTGTCTTACAGCTTTCTAGTTGCAAAGTACATATCTGCTTATCCATCGGATATTTGGTCAGATCCATGCTGCATGCAACCGTTGTGGTGATCCTTGAAAAAAAGAGTATTGCTAATTATTAATGGGATAAATTTATTCATCAATAAAAATAAAAATAAGCCATGTATCCTTCTTGAACTAATATTCACAGGCAAATATCTATTGCAAGGAAAACATTCTGGTATTTACCAGTATCTAATGTGGAAGAATAGCAGCATCCCAAACAGGAAACACTGCAGAATAGTTGAGTTTAGTGGCAGTCTAAAAAAGCCACTCCTTGCTCCCTTCTCACTTACAGCATGCATTTTCCTTTGCTGATATTTTGCAATATATTTTACAATTTTGTTATATTTATCAAAATCTATTATAAATGATAATCTGCAATAAATAATGCAAATCAATCATCACAGCTTGCTTTCCTCTGTGATGACTTCAGTTCAAAACAACTGGAATGACAAAATGCAATTCTTGTATTTGGTCTACATGAAAGCAAAAGAATCTATTTAGGCAAGAAAATGAGACCTATTATTAAATTTAAGAATTTAATCATATTGGTCAATAATATTACACATTCATAAAACCACAAGACCACACATATTTTACTTTTACAAATAGATCCATTTCTTAAGCATAAAATTATGCTAACCTGGAAAGTTTAAAATGTAAGTAGAAGACAAATATAAAGGCTGGTATGTGGTATATACATACCGCAGAGCATACAAGACTGTTCCATTAGGGTATATTCTTATAAGACGATTCTCAACAGTGACATCATGAAGAAAAGACTTTTTTGAATCAACTATGAAGGTGTCCGGTACCCAAAGCATTTCCACAAGCCGACCATCTAAGCTTAAACTCTTATTACCATCAAAACAAAGTCTCTCATCAGTCCATCGCTGCCTTAGGAATATGGTAGCCGTGTAGTCCTGAAAGAGAAAAAAAAAAAAAAAAATTATCATACAGAGCAAGCCACTATTATTCTATTTTACAAAACTATATGGAAACAGCTGTTGGGCACAAATAGCCTGTGATTCTCTACATCCCATTCTTAAATGTTGGCACTCCAACAGCAGTTGTACTGGCTCTCGTACTGCCAAATTTTCCAGCTCTTGAAGTGAGGCTGACATCATTAAGAAATACTAGCTTGAGTAGATTTTGTTCTTTGGAATTTTACAGTAAAAGCTGATGGCCTAAATCTGGGGCTGTAAATCAGCTGAAGTCATCAGAGTTTTGTAAGCAGGTAATCTGGCTCCGTAAACCTTTAGCTTTTAGAATGATTTATGTAAGTTGTTGCAAACAATTTCATTCACATAAACTACTAAATAATGCATTTTTTAAGAAAATGTTGTATAAATTCAGGTAGACAAAAGAAGTTAATGAAATAGGAAGGGAATCATCCTTTGGCACTACTTATCCTTTCAGCATCACAAGGTAAACAGTGGTGACAAATTTATCAAGACCTTGAATATAGTTCTCAGCGCAGTTCATCTTCAAATCAAATATGTCTTGTAGTCTTACATTAAAATCACACTATTTCTTAGCACCTTTTTAATCAATTTAGATTTTATGGTATGTTTTTATCAGTGTGGTAAATTCATCTTAAGTTCTGACCTTACTTCCACCTTTCTAAATACTAACTAATACTTATTAAGTACAGAGGGATTCTAATATTCAGCTTCCGTGGAAGCCTGAGTAATGGAATGGTGAGGTACTTTTATGTATATACATGTTTTTATATATATATATATATTTCTTTATATGTGTACACACTTTTTTATATATATATACACACAAGTATTTTCTAGTATTGAATATCTGGTTAATGAACTTTACCTTTTATTTCTATGTACTAACATTGGATATTCAGTTAGAGAAGCATACTGCATTTCATAGTTTGTTCAAAAATAAATGATACAAATACAATAAAACACAGCTGGAAGAAATTAATGTGTGACATTAACAGTAAAAGAGAAAAACAATATGACTTCAGCTGTGTTTAATCACAAGGAAAGGAAGTGGCTTCAAAGACACGTGAATGTATCTTTTTTTGAAATGCATAAAGATTTAGGCATTTCATCTGGAAAATAAATACTGCTTTACATGCCTTTCATTAAGATTAATAGTCAGTAGCAAATTTCTGTTTGTACCTATGAGAGGTGTGATTTGCATCTGCATTTCTAAACTTATTATAGCGTTATAACCACCATCTTTAGTGAAAAATAAAATTTCATCTCATAACACACATTGACTGCACAAGGAGAAAAGCCTCAAAGTCACATTGCTAGCAACTGTAAACACAAGACATTAGCTTATCAACAAGCAAAACAAAAAAGATTGCAAAAGCTACAATACCATATTTATTTCTGATATTGTGTCAATGCTTGCAATATCCAGACTCATTCCAACTGACACAGGACCATCTGCAAAAGAGAGAAAGTCAGAATCTAGCATACAGTTCTATAACACTCGGTGTTCAGAACTGGCTACAAAATCTTCCAAAATATGATCCCTTTTTCTCTAAATGTTTAGCAGCTTTTTAAGAGGAAATATTCCTCAAACTTACATTATGAAAGAATTTTAACAATTTCATAACCAAAATATAGTACTTCTAGACTAACAGTATCCTGGCTTTAATAAACAAGCTTTATTTCCTAAATATTTCCTGGGTTAGATTTTTTTTTTTTCTCCCCTCCAGAAACAAAGTGCTGGGGAAAATGTTGCACAACAAGGTGCGGAAGGTACAATCCCCATGGTATATCACACCCTTCTGCTCTGAAGTGCAGAGCAGTGGAAAGAATTCTTCCAGTTGCAACATCTGGTCCATCAGATGTTAGTGAACTAAGGAGTTACTCCTGGCAATGTCACATGGTTAATATCCAGATGGGATATCTGAGTGACTTTATTTACTGCCTATTTAAGAATATATTATCTATATTGTGTCATTGCATTTTAATGTTTTGCTTTTGACCATTAGCAGCTAACTTGTGATTTAAATACTTGCATTTGTAAAGGAAACCTAGTAATTTCATTCTCCTTTTAATATTAGTATCAGCTGAAGATTTATTCAGTGTGATTAAACACCTTACCTAAGGAGTTGCCATGATGTCATTGTAATGTTAGTACGCTCAGACTCTTGTTTCCTTGTGAATGTGCATTTCAGTGTCAGAAGGAAGATCACCAGCTGTGCATTTTAAAATGCAGAATTTGTGCAGCGCTTTCATGGAAACATGATATTATTCCTGGTTGAAGGTGTGCAGAATAATTAAGAGAGTACACATACAAGGAAATTCATATTAAATAAATTAATCTTTCCAAGTAATTGAGATGCAGAGAATGCAGTACTGAGAAATGCATAAACACTTTAGATAAGATCTATGTAGCTGATGGTGCCAGTATATTGCAGGCACACTGCTGAAAGCCCCTCTTGGCTCCTTGCAATGCATTATGTGCATAGCTCTTATATGCCCCCAAATGGCATCTAGAGGAAGATGGGGCCCAACTCTACCCCACTGAGTAACACTAAAGAAAAAAACATGTCATTCTAAGATGTATAAGTGTATTAGTATTTTTATTTTTCTCCAAAATAATTTCCATTTGTAATGCACGTGTTAAAGTTGTTAAACATCTGGCACTCCTGAAGGAATCTATAAATGCTTTGTTCTAGACTTACTTGGAAGTTCAGATATAAAGCTCCAGCTCAAGGCAGGACTGTAGGCTTGCAGCATCTCCTGATGGTAATCTATGTGTTTATTATATACTATAAATCATACATAGAGATTAGAGGAAATTTTTCATCTATTGGAAGAACACTTTGGAGGTTAACTTTGGAAGAAAATTATTTGACTGAAAAGTTCTCACACCGTTGACAGCTTGTTCTTCTGTTTCTTTCCATTCTTTTCAGGTTTTGATACTCCAAGGACACATTTATGTTTTGTCCCTCCAGACTTAAAAAACCTGACTGTCTATGAAACTCAGCTCAACTTTCTAGGGTGCAACAGCAACAGAGTCAATTGATACTTATGCTTACCATTGTACTATATCATTATTAGAGGTACAATATTGCCAGCTTTAACAGATGTCTCAGATCCTCAAAAAACCATTAAATTTAAAAATAAGTGTGATTTATAATCCATTTTCTGATTTTTTTTAAGTCTTCCTATGGATTCCCATGTGTGAGTGTAACAGAGCATATTACTGCCAACCGTCACACAAGAATTTGGGGAGAATCTCATCATGCAAGGCATATGCTTAATGATGAACCATCCTAAGGAGATGACAATGCAGTGTTCAGCTAGATATGTGGGAATTGTGTCTGGGAATAATCAGGCCCTTTCCTATCATATCATATTTTATTGGTAGGAGCCACACTTGATCCTTGCCTAGTTAAGGCGATACAGATTAGGGGAAATGTTCATTAGCAGCATTTCAGTATCATCAGTGCTATTGTTATACATCTGAGAGGAAAAGCTGACTTTCTGGAAAGACTACTGAAATTAAATTAGGTTTAATTTTTCTGGAATCACAGAAACAGGACTTTCTACATCTCTTTCTTCTTTCTTCCCTGTTGCAGTATTTTTCACCAATATTGAGTAACACAACAGAATTGTAGTGTTGGGTGACCCCCAACCACCAAAAGACATCTAGCTTAGATTAAGAGGTACTTCAGACTCAAACTGATTGTCCTAGCACAGACCTGCCTTGTGGTTTCAAGCACTAAGGAGTGGTAGCGTAGTCAGGATAAAACCATCCTGCTCTGCCAGCTCTGAGAGTCTTCACAGCCCAAGTGCCCGTGCTGTGCAGCAGAAAATTACATTCCCTCAGATACAGCAACATGCCAGGGAGGAGTAAAAAAACCAAACCAATTATGGAAGGGGTTTTTATTAACACAATGCAAGCTGCTGAGAATAGCTTTGCTTTAACAGTAAATTAAATCAGAATATCAATAGTTACATGCTAATTTCTTTTTTGTGTGTGAGGCTAAATCCAAATTATGGTGCCTTACTAAATAAGCAAAGTATTAATACAGAATGAGTCTTCCCATAATTATCCACCAGGGTTTCCCCTGAACTTCCTCTGAAAGGTCTCCTGTTGACAGTGTCAAAAAGAGGGCAGTAGACCAGATGAGGCAGTCAGTTCCTACACTTCCATATGTTTGGCAGGAATTGTATGTATAATGACAACTTCGGAAGAAATCTACTGATCTTCAGAAGAAAACTAAAGTCGATTTGACCTGCATTAGTGAAGGGAATCTTCAAAACATAACAAAGAAATGCCAAAGGGTATGCCTTGTTACAGCAATAGGTGCACAATCTAATTTACATTTTAACTTTTACTGACATTTATGTACAAAGACTGCTACTTAATCACTTCAGATATTCACAGTATTTCTGTACGGAAAGCAGCAAGAGTGGCAGATAGCATACTTACAAGTTCAGTTTGCATCACTGCAATGATCAGTCTGTTAAACTTTGTACCAACAAAGTAAACCTCCATTGTGTCACGTATGTATTTGCAACTCTTAAGACCTGCTACTGAAAACAACTGGCACTATCGTGAACAGCCAGCAGTGAGCTGTTAGCACTAGCTCTTTTTCATTTAGTTTAAGAAAACTTAAAACAATTCTAGCATTCAGAAGCATCTCAAGAGAAATGGCTTTTTGAAAGAACACCTCATCCTTGCAGTAATACTGGATAAAATACTATGCAACTCTAACAGACAATTAGAAGGAAAAGTATCACTAGAAAAATTTATTATAGTTTCATAAAAAACTCTTTTTGTCTGCCTGATTGCCAGCTTTGCTTTGTTTTAGAGTATTGTAGGACTTATAAAGTGATACATTACACTTGGATTTTTTTGGTGCATTTAACTTCCCACCACAAGACATCTTCCCTGACAAATATACGTTACATGGAGAGACTGGACAGATTAAGATAGGCCTTCTGACAGATCTCAAATGTAATTGTTGATATGAAGATATCAGAAGACAGACCCATTTCTAGCAGGAATCATCTTCAGTCCTTTGTTTGCACCAGTGATCTTTAGACAGTGATGTAGCTTTGCTAGTACAGTTTGTGGACAAGACAAAAATTGGTGGCAATTGTAATAACAGCTTGTTTAATCATTTGTCAAAAAAACATATTTTAATACAGCCAAATGCAGGCAATTAATGTGGGGACAAATAATGCAGGCAGTCTGTACAGGATAGGAAAATATCTTGGCAAGCAGTGCCTTTGAGAAGGATTTAGAGGTTGTCACTGATAATCATTTCAACAAGATGTTTCCATATTATGCTTTGGGAGAAGCACTATTGCCATGAGGAGCAATACACAGAATTAAGCTATCTTGCAATCTAGACTGTATTGGCAAGACTGTTGTAAGATTACTGTGACAAGATTTGCTTTCCATATTTGAAAAAAATAAAAAATGGGCAAACAGCAAACAGAATTCAATTGAAAGAGAAATATTCCAGAAGACAAAAAACTCTGCAGCTTAATATCAAAGTTTGTAACATGAAAATTAAGGAACAGCATTTACTCAGCTCCTCAAAGAGAAAATGGAGAGATGACTTGCCCAATGTATGCGAGTGCAGAGAGAAGGTATCCAGTAGTAAGTTGTACACATTCTCTGACAAAGCAAGGCAAGATTCCAGTTTATGGAAGCTACAGACAACATAAAACTTCCAATAAATTTACTTTTTTTTAATTGAACTTAATTACTCTTCATCATTTAGAGTCTCTAGAACTCACCATTTAGAGGAAGGGGAAAAAATAAAACACACAAAACCCAAACTGTCCTGCATGCAGGAAGCTGAGTTTGGTGGCAATGACAGTCTCATAGTGTCTCTTATTTCCATAGGAAAGGAATTAAAAATCTACATTACCATCTGTATGCTGAAGTTTACAGTTTTGCACCAAGTCATTCATTTACTAAATCACAATTTTAAGGATTCAGTAGGGATTTATTAGATTATTTTTTTTTCTCAATATACAATTGGTCATACATGTTCTGGGCTTTTTGCCTTTCTCTGAAGGGTTAGACATTGGCTAACTGGTACATAAAATAGTCTTTAGATGATGATTATTTGGTATATTTCTCTCATGTATCCTGTGCGCTTGTCTCACTAGATCAAAGGGTCTTAGACACAGCTAACATTCTGATATCTCCTGGTCTTTTTTTGGAGGTAAACTGTAAACTTCTGAGGACTAAAATGCCTTCATCTGATTAAACTCATGGAACTCAATATAAACAACATTTGAGAAAAAATATGATGACTGGTCTTACACAGAAGGTTGGACTCAAAGATTTAATTTTCTTAAATTTAAACCTTAAGACCATGAAATGTATTACTCATTACAAATCTAAGGAAAATAGTCTTTTCAATGTGGTTTAGAATAACTGATTTAAACGTGACACTTTTCTATACCACTTGAAAGCAGCTTTCATATTCAAATATACTTAGCTGTGACCTTTTCCTAGTCTCTCTTTTTTAATTAGAACACTTAAATTATCATATTCAATCACAGAACAAAATCTATTTGTATAAAATTATTTACAAGATTTTATGTATCCCCTAACAACTCTACAAACCTGATCCAAGGCTCACTGAAGTCAGCAAACATTAATTCAGAGAGGTTTGGCACAGCACCTAAAGTTATAAAATTGGTCTACACAATTTCAGCAGAAAACCTGATGTTGAAATCAGCTTGTATTGCTGAGATAAAGTGTCAGGGTTATGTAGCACAATTAAGGGAAATAACTGTGAGGTTTTAAATTTCTCATGTAGGCTTTTCTATATAAGACTTTCACATCTATCTAAAAGTCTTGGATGGATATTATTATGTTAAGCGGTACTATGTACTAACACTAGTATAGGAGTGTTTCGTATTCCAGTCCAAAGAATGGCTAAAAATCATTCTAGATTAGATATTTTTTAATTTGTTAATGGAACTTCCCAGGTCTATCTGTTCAGTTTATTAAGACTTGCTTGATGAACCGGCTCAAAGAGGGACATTAAAATGCTATAGTTAAGGAAAGAGAATATTTAACAGTAACCTTCAGGTGAGGGTAGTAACCAGTAAGTAACCATTCCAGCTAGGATTCTTCTGTACTAAACACTGTGTAAAAGTACACCCATAATTTGGTAACTGGTATGTGTCACCCACCGTGGACAAACATCACTCAATTTTACTTGTCTGCAAACCTTTGATATACTAAGACTGGCTTCAACTAATCTAACTTCAGGCACCTAATTTAGGTGCCTAGAGATGGGAACGACAGTCTGTATTGGGCATAAATGGCAGCGTTTGGGTAGCAAGGGTCTGGAGGGGCGACTGGTGGTGGAGGAGACTAAAGCAAGGCTTAAAAATCTAGAAATCTACTAGTTCCAATCCATGCAAGGAGAGAAGACAGTTTTTATGTGTTTATGCACAGTCATTGGTTTGAAATGAAAGATATATTTATAATCCCCTCATTAATGACACTAGCTGAATTGTTATCTGCATAGGTAATTTCCAGTCATCTACCAGTCCCAGCACAAGGACCAAACACAAACAAATAGGCAAATGGAGGACTTATCAAACTAAGGACCCATGAGCTGCCATAAAATTCCCTTGACTAGTAAATATTTGTTTCTCTTAGCTTTAGGAAAAAAAGAACGTTCATTTTATGATCATGTGTTTCTACCTAATGCTTTCTTTTCAGGATAAAAATATGCTAAATATTAAGGAGTTCAGTGTCACTGATTTTGTAAGAGTATGATAGTATCTTGGCAGCAAACACCACTTCAAAAAATCCCCATTTCCGGCCTGAAGAAAAATTTCAAGGACAAATAACTTTGAAATTACTTTGAATTACGTTATTCTAAAATTCAAGCTAATCTCTGGCCCTCTCACACTTGATAAAAATCACATTTCAGTGTCCCATTAAGACTAGCTAACATTAAGTTCAAAGCACTGTAGATGCCAACAAATAATACCATCTAGTTTTATGACAAATTTCTTCATGCATATTTGAGTGCATATCTAACTGACATCACAAATAAACAGAAATATGCACACTTTCAAAAGCAAATAAATCTTTGCCAAAAAAAGAGCCAAGTGTTTTTAAAAAGCTGACTTTAGGATATTATTTTTTAATATTTCTGTGTGTCATCATATACATACTAGGTTCCCATTTCATGCAAATCCTTTCATAGACTTCAGACAGCAAACATAGATCTTGGGTTTAATATGGATATACATTCTTTTCTGTTCATGTTTCTAGAAATACAAGTTTTCTCCTCAGAGTAAATCAGCACTGATAAGTTGACACAATTAGAACTGTGCAGGCTCTTATAGTAGCTGATAATCTTGACCAATACCAGAATACCCTAGTTTATGTTTTTATCACGCATTTGTTCATTTGCCTGCTCAAGTCTAACCAGTACTTTGATCTTATGATCCATTTTTGATTTGTCAGTCTGTTACTATTAACATGCAAATATCACACCAAAGAAATTAAGGATTTGAGAGGGGATAAGGAGGGTAAAAAAAGTCACAGAAGAGGTATAAATGACTAAATTGATACTCTGGCTTCATCAACTATTTAGCAGGTGTGCTGTAGCCATTGATACAATTCTGAGTGAAGCCAGTTATACTGAAATCTTTCTCACAAAAAACAGATACAAGGTGCATCAGCTGCAGGCAGATAATATCCATAGAAATAAGGAAAATATTACATGGAACAAAGCTAGGATAGCTGTGGTCATACAGATCAGTATAATCCACTGATTTGTTAAGCTGAGGATTTAGGTGGTTTACTAGCTCTGCTTCTAAGAAAAGCAAGAGCTTCTCCTGGACCTGAATCTCATCTGGGCTGCAGCTCACCTTGTCAGTAACAGAGAGAGGTCAGGGCTGGGCAGATACCGCTCCCCACTCTGCCCCAAGCATACAAGCCTATCATATGGCAAATTATCTCAAATGATCTTGCAAAAAGCTACAGGTACAAAAATTGGGACAGACACTTCCTGGGCCATCCTAACCTAGATTATTCCTACAAAAAAGTAATTTCTCTCAAAATCCTCAATGCTGCATTTAGAAATAGCAACAATAAAATGTATTTTTTAGAGTCTCATCCCATTCCTTCAGCAGTAGGGATAATATAGATCCATCAAAGACGTCTGAAACAGCATTTGCATGCCTGAGCTGTGGCAAGCATATGCAGCAATTCTGGCACTGTCTGGAAGTGCTAGACTGGCTCTGTGTGTGACATAGACTTGATCCATGCTTGAGCTTCTCTGGGATCTCCAGGCAAACACAAAAATTCCTTAGCATCCCTCCGAACAAAATTTCCAGGCAGAAAAAGAGCTGTAGCCTTGCTGCATTACAACAGCTGAGAAAAAAATTGGCTCACGTTAGCAAAGGGAGATGCGTAACTCAGAAGTGCTTTACTGTTGGTCTTTACTATCATAGGATTGTGCAAGGAAATTCTGTTTGCTGTCTACCAAAGCACATCCATCATGGCAGTGCCAATGTATCTCTAGCACTAGCATGAAGTAATTAATGAAATATATTAATGCCACTGAACACACAGTTATTTTCCATTATGCATCATCTCCAATAAGAAAGGGTTAGTTTCTTTATTAGCATTACTTTTATTTTGCTGAAAATCGTCTTAGACCATGTAAATACTTTATAGCAGTTGTATCAGCAGCTGAGACAACAATAAAACCAAACAGATGAAATAGTTTTCCATTTCTCCTAAACCTAAAATACAAATTTATCTTAATATTTTTATCAAATGGATTCAGAACTTGCACATGATGTGCAGTGCCCTTATTGGACAGGCTGATAGTCTCACTAGGTATTTGGATGGCAAGAAGTAACAGTATGGTCTGAGAAACTCTTTACTCAACCATTTTTAAGTGGGATATAAAGGGATATACAGGTCTTCATTTGAAACCTCTAACATTTCTGAATATTTAACTTAAGAACTATTGTCCAGCATTCACTCTGCAAGTTTATTTTCTGACACACAGAGCTGAGCATCTTTACAACATGCAAAATATTTTCTTTTTCAGAATTCTGCATTTACTCCTGGCAGAGATATCGACCCCACCTTGTAACTCTTCAGTATTTTTGATGCATGCAATAGCCTGATTCAAGCAAGAAAGATGTTTGTCATTGAGATTTCAGGTGCCTAATATTGACAGCCTTGGTGCAGTAGACTATGTGGGTCTTCCAGCCTAGTGACCGTGGCCTTCTGATGCAGGGAACTAACATTTTAAATTCATTTTCCCCTCAATTCTGCAGTAAAGCAGTTCAGTGACCTTTAAGACCCGAGGCAAGAAGCTTTTATTAAATTATTCTCTTGCAGTCTTATAGTAGATGCACATAATACTTGGTATAGTAACAAGATTTGCCCATGCTTTTATGAGCAGTTTGATATATAAAGCTTTTTTACTGCTAATCAAAATTTTTTATAGTTCTTATTCAGAAAATTAGAGGAAATTATGCTTTTAAATAGGTAAGGTATTACAGCTTATTTCACTGAGGATACATGAGCATCAATAGCCAGGTTTCTAACAGAGTCAGGAAGCTTTGCTTGTGAATGCCTGGAATATAAGTTTCACCTTGGGCCACAAAAGTTATTATGCTATATCTTATTATATCATATTACATCATGAGATCAATTACATCATAAGATCAAGTCACTGGCCAACATTGGAGAAAAACTATAGCAAAAAACCCTTTGCTTTCATTGCTGACTTTCAGACACCACATTGTTATGCCTCAATCATATTAAAAGAGCTTTTCTACTTACTATCAAAAAATGGACGTAGATACTTGTTGTATCCTTTTATGATTTTTTGGATAGTTGGAGGTAGAATTTCACCTTTTCCTTCAGCTTCAGGGATTTGCATTGACCTAAAAGGAGTGGAAAACATGAGGATGTTTTAAAAGATCATCAGTTATAGTAGAGACTACATTCCAGGAAAAAGCTGCATTAGTTTCAAGATTACTGATGTTTACTACCCATCAGACGACATATCATGAAACATTTGTATATTTGCATTTCACAGCACTGTATGTTCTAGAAAATATCAGATTTTATAATCTGTATTAGCCTCTTATTTGAAAAAAAAAAATACCCCTTTTATACCTTAAAGTCTACCATTTCTTAATGCCTCACCTGAGAAAATAGTTTAGTGCTCTTTAATACCTTCTCTGGAAATAGAGCATTATTATCATAATCTAGGAATGTGGGAGGGGTGTTGATTGTTTATTTCAGCATTTAAAATTGAGCTTCTTTTTACATAATGAAACACATTCAATTTAGCTCCTGGAGAGAGACAGAAAGCAGCCTCAGAGATTAGTACATAAAAACACTTTTAAAATCCTGCTTTTACAATGCAATTTTTAAACAGGTTATAGAAATAATCCTGTTAGGCAAAAATCAGTGAAACATTAGTGAATACAAACCACTCCTTTGTTCAGAAACAGCTACAAATATCATCCACAGAAGTCAAATATAAGTAAGTAATTACAAACCTCATTTTTGCCCTGGGGTCCCTACAATAGCTTTAATAGAAAGATGAACAAAAGAACTTGGGAACATATACACCCAAACTGCAATTCTTTAATCAGACTCCCTCCAGATTGATTTTTATATATTTTTCCCCCTTCACCTTTTATGGGTCTTGACGGTTAGCAGCTGTGGGAGGGACACCTGAGGTCATTAAGGGTTGTTACACGGTAAGTAGCAGTCCCATAGCAAAAGATACCATAACTTTGCTCTTAATTTCTGCCTAACCCCTAAGGTGAGCACCCCGAGAGTGCAAGCAGAATGTGCTCACCTCTCACAGATTCAGGCTGTGCTCTTCACAAATTAAAGCACAAGTGGTACTGACTACTTGTTGCCAATGATTTGAGAAAAGTGGGGGTGTGACTTTTCTTTAATCATGAAGGCAAGAAGCAAATAATTGATAGATTTAAGGAAGCCCAGCTGACTGCAGGCAGAGGCATTGCCTCCGCTGATGGAGACCGGCCACCTATATATTCACCAGGAGAAGATCTCTGTGTTTCTTACCCCCCAGACCAAAAGTGATGTGTCACTAAGAGTGATAAGCTCTATGCCTTAGCTCTCCTACACCAGGTATTAAAGAGCAGTAGCTGTAGTAGCTCAGACCTGGGGAGAAGGGTGTAAGTACAAATTGATGGCTAAGGGGGCACCAGTGTTTTGTTGTCTTTCCTAGTCCTGCTAAATACTCACTGAATTTCTTCTTCCTAATTTCTCCCAGAGCTGCCCTGAAACCTCTGCTTGCTCTTCCTAATGATGCTTCTGGGCCTCCTATAGCTTTCTAAAACTTAGTTCTTTGAATTTAATTCTACTGTGTTTCTGGGAGAGCTTGAGCTGTTCTGTCAGGAAACTGTGGTTTTCATCCACTAGGAATAATTCAATATCTTAGATTGGCAAAACTGAAATGCTATGATCTCACTGAATGTACATGGCCAAATCACAGTGTGGGTTTAGATGTGGTGTACGCTGTCTTGAAGTGCTGCTATAGCTGTGTAATTTCTCTGTTCACCAGACTCTATTTCCACATAAGTAGCTGTTTTTCATTAGCAGTCTTGTAACTTATTTAGCTTAGATATTTGAATGATTGTATTTATTTCCCTTATTTTTTCCCCTATTTTTTATTTCTTGATTGCTGGAGATCTATGTTATTACTTAATGTTAAGTGTGGCCTTGAGTAATGCCAGCATTGAAATAAGGAATTTTTCTCCTGTAAGTTGTGTCCTAAAGAAACGAGCACGGTCACATTGAGTAGGAATGTGAATATAAATAAAATGGCCGGTTTTATGTTGCACAGAAGGGTTGGAATTAGAAATGTACTTGAATTTAATTCGTTTCTTAAATACTGTACTTGCAGTAGTTATTTCTGCTTTTGTAATTTACATGTAATTTTAGCTAAGTGTTCGATGAGCTGCATGAGTTTAATTTCACAGCTTTACTGGGTTGTTCTTGAATAACTTTCACGTACTGTGAAACAACAAAGGAGAACTTGTCCCTTTTCCGCTGCAAGGGTACAATATTGTTCTGCTCATCAGTATGCAATTCTAGAGTGGTCTGGTGTGTTATCATAAACAGCTGTTTTCTGAAATATATCTTAAATATTTGGCATTATTTTATGGAAGTCCTTCCCTTAAATCACCTGTAATACCCTTTGAAGTAATTCTGGATTTCTATCATTAATACATGATGTGTAGCCTCATATCTTTGATTTTTATAGTCAAGTAAGAACTTGTTGGCATGGGAAAGCTGTTGTTCAGTAATTGAGGCTGTGAGTTAATGGGGCATTGTCCATTGTGAACTATTTTGCCATACAATCTTTGAGAAGCTATACCGTAGCAAGCCAATATGTGAGAGGAACCTGACGCCTCCTAAATGTGAGTGTGTGGTGTTACCATCCTGGTAACTTTGGGGATACTCAGAAGCAGATTGTCAGTGTTGAAAGGCAAGGAACCTAAGATGTTACATGCCTGAAGTGGTTTTGCTTACCTACGTTTTAAGGGAGGATGCCTTGTTTACTTTAAAGTGCTCTTCAATTCGTGTGCCCCATTCATCACTAAGCAAGAGTGAGCTCACAGCTGCGTATGTTCCTGTATTCTGTCACATAGCCTTATGCAGGGATCACAAAGGATAAAAGTAAAAGCTGAGGCTCATTCCTTTTATGCATGTACATCTTCTTATCAATGCGTCTAAGCTTCTCTTTTACTCAGTATTTTTGTTGTTAAATTTAACTAACTGCATATGTTTTAGTTTTTCCATTTTCTTAATGTTTTTTAAAGACTTTGGCATGCATCTAAGTATGGAATTGCTTTGAACCAGCTGTTCCAGCCACTGAGGAGAGAATAGGCTTTTAAGGAAGAAAACTGAATATATATTTATTTGACAGCTGGGAATGTCTATCTGTTCTGGGCTGACAATGTATAATATATGTTTCAAACCCTTCAGGTTCAATGAGCCATACTTGCTTTTATAAAAGCTGAATTGTAATTATTTAATTTCCTTAGTTATCCTTTTGGCTCAAAAACTTAGTATTTCTATAGGCTAGGCTAAACTTGGAAGGTACAATAACTGCTTGTTGTTTAAGATACTTTCAAGTTAATGTCTTAATAGAATTGGGTAACTAGAGGGGGGGAGAGAGAACATCTGCCCTAAACAGCAGTCTATATCACCACTTAAAACAAAAGTACAGTCTAGACACATGTACAAGAATATTTTTCCTGGCTATTTTTTGTCTGAATTTATGCATTGTGAAAGAGGCAGAAACATCTTAGAACTTGAGAGAAGGGAGAAACAGAATGCCAAACACAGTCTGAGCAAGCTTTTGAAACACTTCCCTCAGGAAAACCTAGGGGGGGAAAAAGCTTTTTTCAGGCAACCACTGACAGGCAAAGCGTTTACAGATGCAAACAAAGGTGTTACTTCTTGTTTCATACCTGAGGTGCCCAAGGATACAGGCTTTTGTATGGTCTTTGTAGATAAACTGTAGAAGAAACACCTATATCACTGATTAATTCTCTGCTTCAAAACAGCCAGCACTGTCATGGGGTTTTGGTTAATTAGAATCATTGAATCATAGAGTTGTTAGGTTGGAAAGGACCTTTAAGATCATCAAGTCCACCACTAAACCATGTCCATAAGCACCACATCTATAGTCTTTTAAATCCCTCCAGGGATGGTGACTCAACCACTTCCCTAGGCAGCCTGTTCCAGTGCTTGACAAACCTTTTGGTGAAGGAATTCTTTCCAATATCCAGTCTAAACCTCCCCTGGCACAACTTGAGACCATTTGCTCTTGTCCCATTGCTTGTTACTTGGGAGAAGAGACCAACCCCCACCTTGCTACAACCTCCTTTCAGGTAGTTGTAGAGGGCGATCAGGTCTCCCCTCAGCCTCCTTTTCTCCAGACTAAACAGCCCCAGCTCCCTCAGCTGCTCCTCATCAGACTTGTGCTCCAGGTCCTTCACCAGCTTTGTTGCCCTTCTCTGGACACGCTCCAGCACCTCAATGTCTGTCTTGTAGTGAGGGGCTCAAAACTGGACACCGTACTTGAGGTGTGGCCTCACCAGTGCCGAGTACAGGAGGACAATCACTTCTCTGGTCCTGCTGTCCACGCTATTTCTGATACAGAATTATGTTACCACTTAAGACATTTAAGTATTTGTTCCTGTATCTGGTAAGTGCTCTTAAACTCAGCCAAAAAAAAAAAAAATTCCAAACCAAAAAATACTATCTCACAGAATTTTCTGGATCTGAGCCTCTAAACCCAGGCATTCTTTAATTTGAAAACACCCTTCCTGAAATAAATAGGAGCCCTTCTTGGATCAAATAGCATATATTTACTTAAGCTGATTCCTGGTAACGATTTGAAGTGTAAATTCTATTAATTAATCTGATAAATTTGCCTCAATTTTTTCATTTCTAATTCTTAAAAATATTTCTGGGAAAGTGACCATCCATGCAACCCCCTGGATATGGATTTTAGTATGCATGTCTATGATGTGATCATAATGTAATTTAATGTCAAGTGCTGAAAGTGAAGTTAAGATATGTCATTCAGGAAGGCAGAACTGGAAAGTGATGTGGAGTCTGAGAGCCTGGTGTGACACTGTTAGCATATATGTTGTGACAGATGATGTCCTCTCTATATGATAGGGAAGATAAGGCTCTGGCTGTCTCTAAAGTTAGTGTTGTTTTTTTTTTTTAAACAACCCCCAGTGACCACCCTCCACACACACACAAAAAAAACCCCACACTATTATTATTGATTGTAAAGTACTGAGTAGAGGAAATTCTCTTCAAACATTAGCCAGAGCT